TTGATGCCGGTCGTCTCATAGCAGGGCTCGAGGATGAGAGACGAGATCTGGAAGAAGCTGGCTTGCGCATCGTGCTAGAAGAAATGGCTAGCAAATCTTGGAAAAGAGGACCATCCAGACCAAAGTGAAGCTGATTCTCAAATCAGTTGCTTAAGATCATCTGGAATTCAGTGGTCCAAGCGTCCATGGGTTGATGATTGACTGGATATAGTTCACGAAGCAGGAGTTGACGGGGATATTCCTGAAGCCAGATAGTGAAATAGTCCAATTTGGGCAGCCAAATATCTGGCTTCATGTGCTTCAGGAATCCGACGGATATGGCTGAATACTCTTTGGCACGACATTCATGACAAGCATCGTCATAACGAGGTCCATACTATCTGTAGAGCCGCATCTTCTAATAAAGCCTGAAAGCAATGCCTCAATAAGAATATTTGCGTTCCCGTAGAACCAAGCGTAGTGCTTGATAAGCAAGCAAAGCCCTTTTGGGCTCATTATCAGGCAGGGTGTCAATCTTCTCAATCTTATTGTGCCTCACAATGGTGAGGAAGGATGCTCGATTGGCGAAGTTCGACACGAGAATGGCGTCTTGAAAAGTAATCTAATCCGCATAAGTTGCCATGGCGAGAAGCCTTTACTAACCAGAACGCTAGCCAAAACTAAAAAGCGAAATAAATAATCCAGCATCATGAACATCATGTGTGAAAGTAATAATCTCATGTAACTTCGTACCACTCAATTTTTTTTCGCGTGTCGGGCGCGATTTCGGATAGAATGCGACAGGCGTTGTATCTTCTTAGACAACATATTTCTGTGAGCTAAATGTTTACGATATTTTTTCATTATAAATGCCCTAAAGTTCGAATAAGCCTATATATCTTAAATAAGTGCTACCGGAATAGCGTATCAGATCACTACTTGCGAGACGACTATCTGATACTCAAAATCCTACCAGCATCACTCAGTTTGAATATGCCCGCGCCATAGCTTTAGGCTGCATCCATATTTGCGGCATCCTCAGCATCCATCAGTTCCTCGAGCTCCTTTTCGATATCATCAGATAAGTATGCCTCCGAAAGCTCTTCGAGATTGATACCGACTGCAGGGATGACCTCGATGTCCGAGTCCGAATCGTGATTCCCATATCCCAAGCCTTAGTGCAAGATTCACTTAAATATTTCTAAATATTTTGTGGTTGACTACTTGATTTTTTGCTTAATAAGATTCATACGTACATTATATAAAATTATAATCCTTAATAGCACGGGTCCAATGAAATCAGGATTGGAGATGGCGATGTTGATGCTCGAACCTGTAGACGACGATGTTCCTTTCGAGTGTGTAGATGGCGCAGAAGCGTGGGGACGTTTTAAGTCAGGCAGCGATATTGCCTCCTGGTCGGTCTTCTTTAGAGAGGGAGAATCCAAATTGATGATGGCACGCGGGGTCAGCCTCAAGTTCTGAAATGTATTGTTGACCTGCTCCTTCTTAATCTTTGCGAATATTTCCTGGGGCGAAAGAAGTTCTGGATAACGGGTCGTTGTAGTCCTGATATCTTTACTAAAAAAAAAAGAATTTTATACAAAAAGAGCCAAAAAAATAATATTACCATAATATGAAAAAATTACATATATTACTATGTAAGTGGCAGATACCTCGAGATACGTTCTCCAAAGATGTTGGTGTTGCTAATGAATATAGAAGTACGCGGGATGGACTCGCCGACGATCATTTTGCGAAGGAATTCTTGCGACCAAGCCATGTCTGCGTGATAGGATTGGGGATAGACCTGTATATGCGGATTCATCTTGTAGTTCTTGAAGAATTGATGCTGGGATGAGTCCAGCAGATCCTTGGACTGATTCTGTGGCCAAGCAATGAAAGGTACCATGTCCTGGGAAGTTGAGGCGACACGGTAGTACAAGCCGTGATTGGCGATGATAATGAGATGGAGACGGGCCATGATGGCGTCCATATCTGCTGCATCCTCAAGACCATTGAAAGATGGCTTAATGAGTTTCAGGAAATCCTCGTATATGATCTCCCAGATCTTGCTACCAGATATTTTCTTGAATATTTCATCATCGACGTTTATGGCATAGGGATTGTTACACGCATGCCTTCCTGCACCCTGGTCAAATTGAGCTGAAGAGTATCTAGCCCACACGGTCGTATCTTCTTCCTTAATATTTGTGTTTTAAATTGTATATTTTGATGTTTGCTTTGCATTTACCGGGAATGTATTCAGCTACTTAAATTAAATAATGAACTTTGAATTTTGCAGTTAAGATACTGATAGATTGAAGAAGCTTTTTAAAAAGGATACGTCTATCCGTTGGAGCATGCCATCATCGAAAACCCCTGGCTTGTGCCTGGTCAAGGATTCTGCCTTGAAAAAATCCAGGTGCTTGGCAGTAACAATAGATGGCCTCAAGTCGTCGCGCTCAGCAGCATTGATCTCAAACTTGGACTGACAGAAGAGTACAGTCTTGGAACCGAGAGATTTCCCTGAGCGAGTCCTGCCTATCCAAGTGATTGCGTGTTGACGTATGGTCGACAATATCTTGGAAAATACGGTCTCAAGAAACCAACCAACGAAGCTCTTGAGTGTAAAGGACCAATATTCAAGAGCTTTCGCGTTTTGGCAGCCTTTGAGGCAATTGGGGAGTGCCTCCTTGACCTTGCCTTCGCTCCATCCCTCAATTTTACCCCCTGGCATATGAACCTGCTCATCAGTCCACTCCATGAATTGATTGCGATTGTTAGACCGTGGCCCGAATTCCTTGATGAAGCGATAACCATCCTCACGAGCTTGTTGATCAAGTGTCATTTTTTTCTCATTTTTGGGCTTGATGAGCCAGTGTCGAAGTTGCTTTCCAGCAAGACGATCTAGCATGAAGTTCAACCCTGCTAAGGCGACCCTGGTTTGATTGCCCCAGTCGAAACGGAGTGGGTTCCCGAAACCACATGCTGATAGCATCCTTCGACGAGATTTTGTTCTCGTCCAGATAGATGTATTTGAAGATATGCGCATACTTGGCAGTAGCATCGCCGTCTGAAGGGGGATTCGCTGGCAGAATGATGAATTGGATTGTGCAAGGCACCGTGGGCTCCTGCTGAAGACAAAAAGGCTGAGGAAGCTGAGAATACTTGCCCTGGTAGCAGGTATTGTACAGACTCTCGAATATGCTGTCGGTGACCTCTAGCTGATGGTGCATTAGCATATCTACGAACTGTTCGATTTTGGCAGTGCTACTTTCCAGTTGCCTAACAGGAAGGTCGCCAATGTCAATATCGCCAATCTTATGGTCATTTTTCAATGGTCGAGCTTCCGGTCCTTGCAACTTCAAACCACTAACGTGTGAGCATGCTTCATCGAAAGTGAGGGGGCCGTCGAAACCGCCTTCCTCGTTACGAAAATTTGCCATGGCTTCCCAAAGGTTGGTCAAAGTCAGGAATACGCTCTACTCATATTAAGCTAGAGAGAAAGTATGCAGGAAATGAAGACACATCTAGTGCGCAAATCCGTTTGCAATGCAGTGCAGGCGTGAAAAGCATACTAATGCAGTGGAAGATTTCTCGTGAACGCGTAGGGTGCCAGTTAAGTGAAACCGCGTCATGTCAGCTTTGCTGCTAGGTGACAAGCTATTTGTGAAATTTGGAGTATTGAAACGTATTCCTAGATATTCCTTTTCTTCTTGTGTAAGAACGAGCTCAAAGGGAAATTGATTCGTCATTTTGAAGACGAGCTCGTTCAATCGCATCACGCGACTGCCTCGGATGGCTATAAAATTTTATTAATAAATAAAACCGTATGGTGAACATGTCACTGTCAGGATACCGTCTGGCAATGTCCCAATGTGAACTTCTTGTTGGTGTGGAGCGGCTGGTATAATATTGTCAGCGTCTCTAGCTATACCTTGGGGACCCAGGATTTACATAAAAACTATGTAAATATTCAAACAACTTAAACGTATATCTGTGAAATAGAAACAAATGTAAGAAGTGCCCAAGCATCTAATCAGGAATTCGTGTATATGCGTGTTGAGTTCATCCGTGAAGCCGCGTTTCGTCATAAGCTCCCACGTGTTACACATGGCTCAAGGACTTGATTTCCAGATCACTACGCTACCGTCACACTAACTACTCGGGAACCTCCATTAAGCCAATGCGTGTGCGCGCAATAAATGCCAGAATAAATGGTCACAGGAAAGACTTTCCAAACCACTACAAACCCAAGTTCCAGAAAACCAAAAAAAACAATCCCCAGAAAACCAAAAAAAACAATCCCCAGAAAACCAAAAAAAACAAAACCAAAAAAACAAAAAAAAACAATTTTCCGGAAGTCTTGGGGTAAAGCCTTGACCACTGGATTTCTGGAAGACTTCTGGATTTTTTTTTTTTTTTTGTTTTTTTT